ACTCACCTCAGCCTCCCAAAGGCGCAGGATTACAGGCTGAGCCACCGAGCCCAGCTCCAAAAAAAAATTTTTTTAAAGATTTGTTTTCTTCTAAGTCTTTCCCATTCTAAGCTAACATGACTCCTTTAGTATTTCCTTAATTCTTCACTACCATGTTATCTTTCCCTTTTATCTTTTTCTAGTGCTCTGGTTTGCTTAACTCTGCCCTAAAGCATGATGGTTAGAATTAAATATAGTCTTCTCAACGATCAGAAGAATAGTACCCTTAATGATTTGTAAACATTAGCCTTCTAATAGTATAGTTTTGTTTTTTAATAATTTAGTTTCAAAGAAGTTTTTTTGTTTGTTTGTTTGTTTTTTTGAGTTGGAGTCTCACTCTGTCACCCAGGCTGGAGTGCAGTGGCACACTCACGGCCACCCCAGCGTCGACCTGCTGGGCTCCAGCAATCCTTCGGCCTCAGCCTTCCAAGTAGCTGGAACTACAGGTGCACTCTGCCATGTCCAGCTAAAAAGTTTTTTTTTTTTTTAGCAACCATGTTATACTGTTAGCTCATAAGAAATACAGAGTTAAACTAGGAAGGGCTAAAAAGAGCTAGATCTTCATTGTCCTGTTGCTGCTGATGTTTCTCCAAACATAATGTGACTTATTCTTTAAGGGATTTGTGACCATGACTCTGGAAAGCCTAGAAGAAATAAAAGATGTCAACTGCGCTTGGAAAGAACTTAACAGAAAGCTGAGTAGTAATGCAGTGTCTCAGATTACCAGAATGTGCCTCCTAAAAGGAAATATGGTAGGCTTTTCTAGATAATTAACAAACTTTTTAATCAACTACCATAAATGTTTATAAAGACTATCAAATTTGATTCTTTCTTTTTCTGAAACCTAATGGGCTTAATAGCTGTTTTCTCTGTGTGTTAGTTTGGGGAGTTGTATGTGTATCCCATTCCTTCAGAGCTGTAAGTCATTCTATTCAGTTTGGAGTATCTTGATACCCAAGTTATCTAAGTTTCTGTCCTTGTATATATATTATGTGTGGTTGTGTGTGTTTATTCTCTAAGGCTAAGTAACTTATGATTGCAACAGTTAAACAGCTCTGTAATATTTAGAACATGCAGTATTGCTTTTTTAGTGACTTGTTCTTGGTTGTTAATGAGGATAATCGTAGGAATTAAATAAATATTTTAATGTATTTATATAGCAAAATTAAAACTCTGTCATCTTAGTGACTGATTTCTTCTATAGTTTTGAGAAAAGATGTCATATGTATTAATCTAACTTTACAATGTAGCATATAATTTAATAACTGGATTGTTTATTAGAAATAATCATCTTTCTTAAAGTTTAATATTACAACATGGATGTGGTGGCTCATGCCTATAATCCTAATACTTTGGGATGCCAAGGTGGGAGGATTGCTTAAGTCTAGGAATTCTGGACAAATTAGTGAGACCTTGTCTCTATAAATAAGTAAATAAATAAAAGTTTGATATTACCTTTAAAAAAAGTTGAGACCAGCCTGGGCCACATAGTGAGGCCTCATCTCTACAACAAATACAAAAAATAACCAGATGTGGTAGTACACACCTGTGGTCCCAGCTACTTGGGAGTCTGAGGTGGGGGGATCACCTGAGCCCAGGAAGTTGAGGCTGGGATAGTGCTACTGCACTCTAACCTGGATGACAGTGAGATCCCAAACTAAAAAAAAGGTATGGCCGGGCTCGGTGGCTCAGCCTGTAATCCCGCACCTTTGGGAGGCTGAGGTGAGTGGATTGCCTGAGCCCACAGATTCAAGACCCGCCTGGGCAGCAAGACCTCATCTCTACAATAAAAATAAAAAAATCAGCAGGTGTGGTAGCGCATGCCTGTAACTCCAGCTACTTGGAAGGCTAAGGCGGAAGGATCGCCAGAGCCAAGCAGTTCGAGGCTGCTGTGGCCGGGAGCAGCCACTGCACTCCAGTCTGGGCGACAGAGTAAGACTCCAGCTCAAAACAAAACAAAACAAAACAAACAAACAAACAAAAAGGTGTGAGGCAAGTTTGAGACTAATATACACATTCAGAAAAAAATGTAGAGGGGAGGGAACATTAACAAGATCTATAGGCCAAATTAGTTGCTATACTTGAGTATTAAATTTCAACTTATTGACAACCAAAACCACAGAGAAAACATCTTGGGTTACATTCTTATTATTGTTAAATATTGAGGCCGGGCTCGGTGGCTCAGCTTGTAATCCCAGCACTTTGGGAGACCAAGGCGAGAGGATTGCCTGAGCCCATGGGTTCGAGACCCACCTCGGCAACTTGGTGACACCTCATCTCTACAATAAATCAAAAACTAGCCAGTCATGGTAGTGCACGCCTATAGTTTCGGCTACTTGGATGGCTGAGGTGGAAGGATCGCTGGAGCCCAGCAGGTTGAGGATGCGGTGGCCAGGAGCATGCCACTGCACTCCAGTCTGGGCGACAGAGTGAGACTCCAACTCAAAAAAAAAAAATATTGTAGCTCTTCAGGAATGATACTTTCTGGCATTAAATTTTTTAGAAAAATCATTTTACAGGGGACATGGAACAACATTGTAGTGTCTACAGAAACTCTTCTAGAGAATACTGTAGGCTCTTACTAGTAGTAGTAAATTCTTATTAGCTATTGTGTTTAGTTACTTTTCAGATTTAGAAAATATATTAAGCAGCCACCTTGTGTCATGCATTATGTACTGTGTTAACTATTTGGGTCCTCTAAGCAATCATGGGGCATACCTCATTCTCTTTTTTTTTTTAAGCTTATATAAGAGTATCAGCAATTAGTTTATTTGTAAAATCATTTAGCTCATGTATCTAAATAAAATGTTTTTCTTTTGCTTTTAGGGTGTTTGCTTTGATGTTCCCACAACTGAGTCTGAAAGATTACAGGTACTTAAAATTTTTTGTGTGTTAAATAATTGATTATGTTTTCTCTAAAAGATAAGGATTTCTTTTTTGAAAAACATAGTCACGCCAGGCTCGGTGGCTCAGCCTGTAATCCCGCGCCTTTGGGAGGCTGAGGTGAGTGGATTGTCTGAGTCCGCGGGTTCAAGACCCGCCTGGGCAACTTGGCGAGACCTCATCTCTACAATAAATCAAAAATTAGCCAGGCGTGATAGCGCGCGCCTCTAGTTCCAGCTACTCAGAAGGCTGAGGCAGAAGGATCGCCGAAGCCCAGCAGGTGGAGGCCGCTCCCGGCCACTGCACTCTAGTCTGGGCGACAGAGTGGAACTCCAACTCAAAAAAAATAAAATAAAAAAGAAAAACATAGTCACTATGTCATTATGCCTAAATCAATTAAGAATTCCTTAATACAAAATATCTAATATGTCTCATAATTAAAATTTGTATTATAATTTCATGCAAATTAAAAAATAATAGGCTTAGGCCGGGCTCGGTGGCTCAGCCTGTAATCCCGCACTTTGGGAGGCTGAGGTGAGTTGATTGCCTAAGCCCGCGGGTTCGAGACCCGCCTGGGCAACTTGGCGAGACCTCATCTCCACAATAAATCAAAAATTAGCTGGGCATGGTAATGCATGCCTGTAGTTCCAGCTACTTGGAAGGTTGAGGTGGAAGGATTGCTGGAGTCCAGCAGGTCGAGGCTACAGTGACTGGGAGCAGCCACTGCACTCCAGTCTGGGCGACAGTGAGACTCCAACTCAAAAAAAATAAATAAATAAAAAATAAAAAATAGTAATAGACTTGTATAATGAATCCCCATGTACCTATCACCCAGCTTGAACAATATCAATTTATAGTCAGGTTTGTTTCGTCTCTAACTTCACTTACTACTCAGCTGTATTCATTTTTGAGTTGGGGTCTCACTCTGTCATCCAGGCCAGGGTAGAGTGCAGTGGCGGAATCGTGACTCCTCGCAGCCTCGAACTCCTGGGCTCAAGGGATCCCCTGCTGAGCTTCCCGAGTAGCCAGGACTGCAGGGACACACCACCACACCTGGCTAATTTTTGTTTTGTTTTGTAGATACGAGGTCTTACTATGTTACCTAGGTTAGTCTCAAACTCCTGGGCTCAAGCAGTTCTCCCACCTTGACCTTCCAAAGTGCTGGGATTCCAGGTGTGAGTCACTGCACCCAGCTCCTATATTCTTATGAAGTAGTCTGTCATTTCAACCATAGATACTTCCATATATCTATTTATTAAAGAATTTAAAAGAGACATGATTATAATACTATAATTAAACTCCTCAAAATTTGAATTTATACTAATATCATTTTATATTTACATTTCTCCTGTTGTTTTCTACATTTAAATAATTTTTTTTTAATTGTTTTTTAAGTATTTGGTTTTTTTGTTTGTTTGTTTCTTTGTTTCTTTGTTTGTTTGAGTTGGAATCTCACTCTGTCATCCAGACTGGAGTGTAGTGGCTGGTCCCGGCCCC